TGTTTTTCAGAAAAGATTCAGCTTTACTGAAGTATAACTGACAAAAAACACATAAGATATTTGAAGGAATCATAGTGGTAGTTTGATATACATAGTAAAACAACTCCCCCGTCTAGGCAGGTAATACATCCGTCGCCTCATGTTTATTTATTTATTTGTTTTTGGCGAAAGCATTTAAGCTCCACTCTTCTGGTGTGATTCAGCTGCTAAGTCTTATCTAGACTGCTTGCAGCTCCATCAACTGCAGTAAGCCAGGCTTCCCTGTTCTTCACCATATTCCAGAGTTCGCTCAAACTCGTTTCCACTGAGTCAGTGATGCCATCCAACCATCTCATCTTCTGTCACCCTCTTATCCTCTTACCCTCAATCTTTCCCAGCATCAGAATCTTTCCCAACGAGTCGGCTCTTTGCATCAGGTGGCCAAAGCATTGGAGCTTCAGCTTCAGCACCAATCTACTCTTTTGGTGAATTTCAATTATTCAATGCAGTGTTATCAACTGTAGTCACCATGCTTTACATTGGAGCCTCAGACTTTATTTGTCTTGTAGCTGAAAGTTTATGCCTTTTCACCAACCTCTCTTTATTTTCCACACTGACAACCATTTATCTATTCCTTGTGGTATGACATTTTTATGCCACATGAATATGATATAATGCAATATTTGTCTTTCTCTGCCTGGTTTATTCACTTAATGCCTTCAAGGTCCATCCATGTTGTCAAAACTGCCAAGAATTTTTCTCCCAGTGTGATATATGTACATATATTAATATATATATCACATCACATTTCCCTATCTTGGCTATTGGGAAAATGGTGAATAAAAACAGAAGTGCAGGGAACTTCCTGGTGATCCAGTGGTTAGGACTCAGTGCTTTTACTGCCAGGGTCTGGGTTCAATCCCTGGTCAGGGAGCTAAAGATCCCACACACTACACAGGGTGGCCAAAAACAAAACAAAACAGAAAAGCTAGTGTAGATTTCTCTTGGGGATCCTGTTTTCATTTTGAATGTATACCAGACATGGATTACTGAAAATACAGTAGTTGCATTTTTAATTTTTTGAGGACCACCCATAATGCTTTCTATAGCAGTTATACCAACTTATAGTTTCAATAATGGTGCACAAAAGTTCCCTTTTCTCCATATCATTAGCAACATTTATCTCTTGCCTTTAAAAAAAAAAATTTAGGTATAGTTGATGTATATGTCGATGTATATGTTTCATCCATACAACATAATGACTCACAATGTTGAAGTTTATACTCCATTTTAAGTTGTCATAAAATACTGCCAATATTTCCTGTGATACCCTGATAGCTTACCTATTTTATACACCGTAGTTTGCATTTCTTAATGCTGTGCCCCTATCTTGCCCCTCCTCCTCCCGCTCTATCCACTGGTTACCACTAGTCTGTCCTCTGTCTCTGAGTCGGTTTCTTTTTTGTTATATTCACTAGTTTATTTCATGTTATAGATTTCACATAGAAGTGGGTAAGTGATATCACGCTGTATATCTCTCGTCTTTTTGATGACAGTCATCCTAACAGGTGTGAGGCGATACCTCAGTCTGGTTCTGACTTACATTTCCTTGATGATTATTGACGGTGAGCATATTTTCATGTACCTGTTGGTCATTGGCACGTCTTCTTTGAGTAAATGTCTATTCAGTTTTCCTCCCGTATTTAAATTAGATTGTGATTTTTGCTTTGTTTTACTTTTTTACTATTTAGTTGTGGCAGTTCTTTATATATTTGAGATGCTAACCCTTTATCAGATATATAGTTTGCAGATAGTTTCTTCCATTCATCGCCTTTTCAGCTATCGATCTCTTGCTGTGTAGAAGGTTTCGGCTTGATACACTCAGTCCTACTTGTTTATTTTTGCTATTGTGTCAGGTTTAAAAAAAATCATCACCAAGACCAATGTCAAAGGGCTTATCTCTCATATTTTCTGCAATAAGTTTTATGATTTCAGGTATTATAGTCAGATCTTTAGTCCACTTTGAGTTGAAGCTACCAGCTTTCTAAATGTTTCAGTAATCCCAAAGAATGGTCAGAACAAAAGGAGGAGAATTAGCTTAATCCATTATCACTACTGGAAAAGAGTCACTTCATACATTTTGCCAAAAATACATGACTGTCTAAAACCCTCAAAAAGCAAACATTATGTGCCTAGGAAAAGTATATATTTTGATATATGTATTTTTTGAGGTAAAATAATTCACTTTGCAAAACGAACAAAAACTTTTTAACACAGTACTGTTAGCACCAATATTCACTACACAAAATCTACAACATTGAAAACTTTGATATCTGGGGGTCCTATACCGTTTGCCTTTCTGTTTTGGCTGGTAATAAATCACCAAAGGTAACCATATAAGAACCATATTTATATAATATTCTGCTATTCTTTCAACTGTGCTTGGCACAATTCTGATTCTCCACACTTGGCTCCACATAGAGGTCAGGTGTTCATTCTCACTGTGTCTCTAATACATGGGAGCATTTACTAAGACAAGCTGCACAGAAATATTAGCTTTAATGTAGAAGTTGAAGTTGGGGGGAAAGCACTTAAGGTTTCACATATTAATTTGAAAGAACTTCAAAGATCTACAGTGTTTGGTATGAATCACCTCCCCAAAACTGATAGCTCGGTTGGTAAAGAATCTGCCTGCAATGCGGAGACCTGGGTTCGCTCTCTGGGTTGGGAAGATCCCCTGGGAAAGGGAATGGCTACACACTCCAGCATTCTGGCCTGGAGAATTCCATGGACTGTATAGTCCACGGGGTCACAAAGAATTGGACATGACTGAGTGACTTTCACTTTCACCCCTCTTGTACTTGACATCTTCAGCCATCCAAGCTCATCAAGTTCTTTGACTGTGAGGTCAGAGAAGTGGCTCTGGGTGGAAGAAAAACATATTTTTGTGATAAAATTGGCATAACTAACTCCTAAAGGAAAGGTAGGCATGCCCCAGTAAATTGTATAATTATAGGAATGCAAATTGATGCAGTCACTACAGAAAACAGTATGGAGGTTCGTCAAAAAACTAAAAAGAGTTGCCATATGATTCAGCCATCCCGCTCATGGAAATATATCTGGAAAAAAGCAAGTACTCTAATTTTAAAAGATACATGGACCCCAATGTTCATATCAGCACTATTTAGAATAACCAAGACTTGGAAACAACCCACGTGTCTGTCAGTAGAACACTGGCTTAAGAAGATGTGACGTACACACATACACACCGGGATAGTACTCAGCCACAACAAAATGAAATATCACCATTTACGTCAACAGGGACGGACCTAGAGAATTTTATATATAATATAAAGTGAAGTAAGCCAGGTAGAAAGACAAATACTGTATCATATCACTTATATGTGGAATCTAAGCAATAATACAAATGAATATATATATAAAACAGAAACAGATTCACAGACATAGAAAACAAACAAGGTTACCAAAAAGAAGGTGGGAGAAGGATAAATGAGGAATATACGATTAATAGATAAAAACTACTATACATGGCATAGATAAGCAATGAGGATTTACTGTGTAGCTCAGGGAACTGTATTCAATATCTTATAATAACCTATAATGGAAAATAATCTGAAAACAAAGTAACTGAATCATTAGGCTATACACCTGAAACTAACACAATATTGTAAATTAACTATAGTGTAGTTCAAAAAAAACTGGCTCTTGTTTATGAGCATCTGCAAGAAAGGAAAAACTTTAGTTTTAAACCCATGTCTATCCAGATGAAAACGTCCATGCTTGTCACCCTTCCCCATGGGGTATCAGATGAAAGGAAGAAACTTGGGAGGACGGAATGATGGAGGATGGCCAGGCAAAGCCTGGGGCAAGGGCGTCTCCTCTAATTCTCATTCTGTGACAGCAAGAAAGGTGGAGGAGAAATAATTTATACAAAAGTTTTCTACAGTACAGCACTATAAGGAGCAGTGGAAGACGCTTCAGGCAGACATAACACGCTTATGCTCAGCCAAGGATTTAGTGATGATTGGTCTAGTGCACTGATTTCTAACCCAACAGACCAATCTCCCTCTTCTACTGATCTCACTTTAAAGACAAATAAAGACCAGTTCCACAGAATTCAAGTGTTCAGATTCTAGTTTTCTTAGACTGATTTATATGCACCTATTATAAATGAGGAGTGTTTGTTGCTGTCCAGATGCTAAGTCGTGTCTGACTTTTTGCAACCCCATGGACTGCAGCATACCAGGCCTCCCTGTCCTTCACTATCTTCCAGAGTTTGCCCAGATTTATGTCCACTGAGTTGGTGATGCTATCTAACCATCTCATCCTCTGCCACCTGTATTGTATTTATTGCTATGACCAGTATGACTAGAAATCCACCTTATTCAATGCCAGCAGAAGGTTTCCATTTGTAACACTGATCATGACCACAGCCTGTAAGAAGCAGTTATCTATGAAACTGTACAGACGTATGGAAGTCAAGTGGGGCTTTAATCATAGAAAATGCTTCTCAGTAATATCATTACTTTATTTAAACAACTGTTTGCCACACTGTAGCTGGGTAGAAAGCTTTGAAAATAATATAAAATATAAAGAGTTAATCTGACCACTTAAGTTAGAATGGTGCACCATTCTACAAGCAGATTAACAGCCTTAACTCTATGAATTTGGGCAGACTGAACAGGCATGGGCTTCCTTGGTGGCTCAGATGGTAAAGAATCCTCCTGCAATGTGGGAAACCTGGGTTTGATCCCTGGGTTGGGAATATCCCCTGGAGGAGTGCAAGGCAACCCACTTTAGTATTCTTGCCTGAAGAATCCCCATGGACAGAGGAGCCTGGGGTTGCAAAGAGTCGGACATGACTGAGCGACGAAGCACAGCAAACAGGCAAAACAGGCATGAGACAGATACATAATCTACAACACTAAAAATATGTGTTTATTTTCAATTATCTCCCACACTTCCCATTATACGAAGAAAAAATATTATGAAAAACTTACCATGTCTGTATCTGAGACAGGGCCAAAACTGGTCACATAGATGTTAGTGAAGACTTCAGTAATACTGTCTGGTGTGAGAAAAAGAGATTGAATATAGATATTATATTATGAGAACCAGAGGCGACAGAAGGGGTCAAGAACATGGCAAGGTAAGAAAGATTTGTGATAATTGGGAATATTGCTGTTTGCTTTCTTTTCAATGTTCACAACCAACAAATATAGCTATATGGCTTAATTATTCCCTAGGGTCTTACAGTCCTAAATGCCCAGAAAAATTATGACATTCTTTTTGGAAACTATACCTGACTAGAGCTTTTTGTTTTGAACTCAGAATGATTTCTCAGAAACTACCTTAAATGTACCAGTATAGAAAATAAAATACACTTACTATCCTTACTGTATGATGTAGTCCTAAAATTGATCATTAAACCAAATATTTCAGATAGTATTTCATGATGGTAGAGATTTAGTTTGTAGACTGTAAACTACTGTATCTTCTCAATAATGCACAAACACACTGCTAATCACTATAAATAAACATAATTCATATTAATATAAAAAGGTTTCTCATTCAGTGACACAAAAAAGCAAAGAACATTCATTAATCACAAGGATTACGTCCAAAAAAGATTGTTTCTAAATGCATTTAAGAATGCCTGAACTGCTAAAATTAAATTGAATTAGATTTGGAAGTTATGTAACTTATAAAGTAGAGCATAATTAACTGGATTGCTCTGCTAAACAGATGATTTAGATTTTTGATTTTTAAATAAGCCAAATGGCGATGGGGGAAAGCTCAAAGTAAAAAATTAAAAATAAAGCCCTTTCAATATTCTTATAAGAAAAAATAACATCATTAATTTCTACCATCATGAACTTAATGCCTCAACTGCTAAGTGATAACCGTGTAATTCTACACAAACAATATCAGGAAATGTGCTAACATTATACTGGACATTAATTCACAACCATAAGACAGCAAACTAAGTTTAGGATATAGTATCTACTAAAGCAAAAGTGAAAGAATTTTGAAATAACAGAGAAGACTGAATGCTTACTCTTCAAAGGTCTGAAAATATAATAAACTGCATGACAAATCTGTGAGATAGAGTCTCTGCTATCATCCCAATACACTTACACCTGACGTATGGACAGTTAAGGAAATGTGCCCAAGACCCACGCTCTGCAGAGTAGACAGAGCCAGGTTTTAGGACCCACGCAATCTGGCTCTTGAGCACTCATGGTAAGCAAAGTATTGGATCTCAGTCAAGAATTAATCTCAAACTGTTTTCTTATTAGTGACATATTCTACTCTCCGCAATACTCTGTGTCAAAGCATAGCATGGTGTCCCAAATAAATATATTCATTCAACTTTGTTATTTTATACACTATTTTATTCCAAAAAACGGTACTCATGAAATTCTGTTTTGAAACTCATCTATAAAGTTAATTCTCAGCTGCAACCTGCCCCCAAATATCTGTACAGGGTCTGCTCCATTGCTATACAATTTGTGCAGTCACACAGGTCTCTGTGCTCAGAAGGGTCCTGTGCTTGGTCTAATGTTCTCTTTCCACTGCCCTGAAATTCTTAACTATGTTCTGAACAAAGCACCCTACATTGTCATCCTGGACTGGGTCTCACAACTTCTATAGCTGGCCCTGGGTCTGACTTATACGTGTTTTTTCCTCTTACTCATACCAAATCAATCATACTCTCACATTTACTCAAACACTGAATAAAATTTTAGTCATTATAGATACTGACTTATTAAAATGTTCCAGAGGAGAGAAATTAAAATGTTAAGGTAGTCTTCACCCACATATAGGCAAATGGAAGTATTCTCCTCGGTCTGGAGTTGTTAAGTTAGAAAAGAGTGATGATAAAAATACCTGAAAATATTCATGCCAAGAATATGAAAGAATACCCACTCACACACCACATGACAAGTAAAAAGTAGGTAGAATATGGTCATCCTAATGAATGCAATGAGGTGCCAACTAAGAATCCAAAGAGAAAAAAAATGATTACCCTCAAAGCTCTAAGCAGTAAGAGAAACACCTCAAGACACAGAACACAGATATGCAAAGTTACCCTAAAGGAAATTATTTCAAAGTTTGCTGACTTCATAAACACAGTTAAAGAACACATGCATTGCAAAGGATATTCTCCTGTTATGCATGTTCAAAAAAAGTAGAGGAAAATAAAGTGTCCTGGAAACTAGAGGTGAGTCTTCAAAGACAACTTACACCCCTGTGAAGAAATGAGTTATGCAGTCACTGCTAATAAGAAATCCAGTAATCTGAGGTATGGAATAGTAAGTGAAGTTAGAGACCTGGGAGCCATCAGTAAAATAAAAAATGTGTGCAGTGACCAGCTTGGAGAGAGGGAAGTTCTAGAAGAGGAAAAGCCTGCAGTGATTTTATACACTCTTTGAGAAGCTTGATTGTGAACGAGAAGGGGACTCTAGCAACTCTAGCAAGAGGGGAAGGTGGGGGAGTGGAGAGACAGTTTTTCACTTGCTGGTTTAAGGTAGAAGATAGTTAAGCATCTGCCAATGCAGACAGAAGGGACTCCGGGAGCAGCTGAATTTTTAGGAGACAAGATCAAAAAAAGAGAAATATCCCTGAGTAAACATGTAATGCATTAATTAAAAAGGCTCACAATATATACACGGAGGGAAGGAGGAGGGACTATCCTTAATTATGTCAAGTGAGAAGAGTGTTGAAATAAAAGGAAGTAGGTTTTCAGGTCTAGTGGCAGGAAAGCTCCTGGAGAGGAGAGAAATTCTGAGTTACATGCAAAATATCTGTTCCATCACTGTTACTAAAATAAATGGCGATTCCAAGTCAAAAGTTTGATAGCTTAAATAATTCCATTAACAACATTTACAATAGTAAACATCTGCAGAAGACCAACGGGGCATGTGCTGCAGCCCTTTGTCCGTATCCCCCGGACAACCACGACTCCTCACCATGCTGGGATGCTCTGCTGCAAGCTCCTGGGAGGCTCTGCTTGGGGGCTTTTCCTGGCTGCACCCGGCGGAAAGGAATCGCAGAAAAGTCTGTGCTCCTGGGGACAGCCATCAACCAATGACTGATGAGTTGGAGGAAATATAACTCAACTTTATCCCCCTCTCAATGGACACAACTCTCAGGCGTGCGCTACACCATTTCCCAGATGACCTCCATGGGATGAAACTCCACCTGTGCTCAGCCATAACCTGCTGACGATGGTAGTCTGCTTTGGCTGTCCTCCCTGTATCATTGTGTCCTTCCCCAGCTACTGTCTGTAGATATCACTTCCCAAATGATTGTGCATCAAATATCATTCACTTACTCTAAGGAGAAAGAATAATAATAATTAAGGACTTGGGAAAGATATTAGTTGTACTAAAAGATATTAATTAATTGGAGCTAATCATCCAAACAAGCAGCTCTACTGTTTTCATCCCTGTAATTTTGATATTAACGGTAACGTTAAGTAGTATGTAAGCTCACAATACGAAGAGTAAAATCAAACTGCAGATGACATCTCTTCAGAAAGATCAGGATGCTAATAATTTTGCTCCCCGTGTAGCACAAATAGACTGCCACACACATATTTTAGGACAAGTTAGTCATTGCTGTGTTTTGCTTTACTCTCAGCAACAACAAAGACATTGTGCTTCCTGGGATTATTCCCAAAACACCTACATGTGCCATCTGTCATCAGTCAAGTTTGTTCAAGTCAACCAACACTTTCTAAGTTATTTTTGTTTACATGGCACTTAGTGTTCCTATTAAAAGTTGGAAACTTGGAATCTAATAATATTGTTACCATTCTACCACAAAGGAATTGCTCCTCCTTACCCAAAATCTTCCTCCCAGTAGATGCTCAACACATGCTAGATAAATATAGTGCCCATAAAATCAGAAAGAGTTAAGAAGAATAATAAAATCAGTATGAACTGTGTTTTCATACAATCACTTTTCACAGTAGTTCTCTGTTTGGGTCTTTGATTCCTTATGATGATTTGGAAACATAAACATATATTGAATACATGGAATTTCCTCTCAGTATGAGATTCCTGATGCTTTTAAATTTTCGAATTTTTATATATTCTGTTTGTTTTTCTAGTTTCATTTATCTACTTTTATTTTTCCTCCTAATGAAAATGCATTGATTTAAAAAGTATAGCCCATCTGGGATCCCAAACAAGAATCAAAGTCTTCCCCGGTCGCTCAGATGGTACAGAATCTGCCTGCAATATGGGAGACCCAGGTTCGATGCCCGTGTCAGGAAGATCCCCTAGAGAAGGGTATGGCTACCCACTCCGGTATTCTTGCCAAGAACAAAGAAGCCTGGAGGGCTACAGTCCATGGGATTGCCAAGAGTCAGACATGACTGAGCATCTAGCACACTTAACAAGATCAAGTTGCCTCTATGTTTATGGACAGGATACAAGGTCTTCAAAGGATAAACTAAACATACCCCATCATGACAGTCACTGATTATGGGTTTCAAATCAATCTGATTCTGATATCACTGGAGAGTTTATCTATCCTCAACAGGATCTGGGACTGTTCTGGTCCTTAGAACCATTGGCAGATAGAAGATTTGCCTCTCTCTCTTTGAAATGTCTTCCTCTGATACGTAATGATTCAGCTTACTATGGTGAGGATGCCGGAGACATTCTTCTCCCCCCAAAGTACTAGTAAGGAAAGTCAAACAGAGAAAGAGGAGGATGACGCACATTGATTCTCACGGATTTAGTGGACCGTTTGGTTCAGTTACAAACAGCTTCTCAGGGCTCACTAAGTACAGTCCAGAGACATTCCCTGCCTGACAGATAAGGGAGAGAATGTTTCCAAAGGGAGGCTGTTAGTGGTACCAGGAGCAACTTATGTTCCTCGAGGTAATGTCTCATCAAGTCATGGCTCCATGCTCAGTTTGGGGCTCTGACAAGGGAAAAAATGGAGAATTCTTGAAGTTCTCACTTCTGCTATTACATGTTAGATTCTCCTGTGAGGAGATCCTAGTGCCCCATCCCATACCAAGTTGCTAAGAATGGCATCCAGAGCACATCA